CCCTCAAGAGCATTTCACTAAAGACTGGTGAAAAATGCACACGGACCACATGTCTAACTTCATTCTCAGTTTTTTCTGTCTCCACAGCCATCCCACTTAACCTTGTGCGAAAAGTTGGGAGGGATCTTGCATTACTTTGGCCCAACACTCCATTTACAATGGTCTCTATACCTATTTGCTTTCCTGTCATTAACTGCACAATGCCAGCCTTTTATACACCTCACACCCTTCACATCACAACTCGGTGTGAAAACAGGACAAACAGACCAGTCCAACAAGACTCTCTGCTCTGCCCAGCAGCAGCCTCCAATGCTAGAAGCAGTCCAAGGAGAACATGGACGCGTATTTTTAAAAAAGGTCAGAAAATCCAGACATCAATCCTCCCCCCCCCCAAAAAAATGCTACCTCTTCCATTGGCCTTTCGGCTTTACGTTTTGAATTTGCAAAGATGCTAACACAAAGCTTGTAAGAATGTGATGGCGGCCTATTAAATCAACCCTCTCCCCTTTTCCTTTCATCCAACTCTCAGGATCCATTGCCAGCCATGTTCAAATAGAGTCCCTTTCTTTTCGTTTCCGAGGGTGGGAACATTTGCTGCTCTGTTGTTTGGGATTGTTTGCACAAAGTCTTTCCCGGATTTGGGGAGAAAGGTGCATGGCTGCTACGGTATGCTACCCACGTATACGCGTCACCCTTGGGCTGAGTACGGAAAAAAAAAGTCAGCCGCAATGTTCACAGTGGACGCAGCAACGATGCGGTTCTTTTTAAAACTGGTCCAGTCAGGAGCTTTTCAGGGAAATATGAATTTATGTCCGTTTCAAAATCGAACAAACTACCTCTCTCCTTCTCTACTCTTAAAAGCAGACAAGAAAAAGAACAGGATACGACTGCGGTTACTACACAAGCCATGATACTGTGTCACCTTCATCAAAGTCTGTAGGTCGACCTCTATTTATGCCCTGCCACCCACAAAATTCAAGGATTCATTGCACTGTGCATGTACATGTTGAGCACAGTGCAAAGTAAAGGAAGGTGTGTGAAGGTCCATTCAGTGTCTGCTTGTACTTTTCACAGTAAGTAAAATGCCTACATGAGTACATGTACAAGTGCCCGGTGCACGAGGCTGGCACTGTGGTATTGTGCTGTTGTGTACATGTACTATGATGATTCTGTACATGTCCTGTGTATTGTGGGCCCTTCTGCACAGCAACACCACCAACTGTGTGTTGCAGCGGGGACGGCGACTTGTGCTGGGGCTTGGACAAACAGGGCGGTTTGTTTGTGTTTGCGAGTCGGATTGTGCCAAAATGAAAAGGAGAGGCCCCCACAATCACGATGACAATGATGACGATGACTGCGGCGGTTGTCAGCGACGATGATACCGGGGTGAATTCATTGACCGTGTTATTGGGTAATTCACGGAGAGAGATAGAGAGAGAGAGAAAGCGGCCCCCCCGATATCATACCACTCTGGTCTCGGAAGCACAGGCAGGCAGGCTTTACTGCAAATCTAAATTGTACCTCAGACTTTCAGGTCACAGATTTGACAACTTGTCATCTGGCGGACTACAGAAAAGCCACAAGTGCCACCTTATGATTGTGAGGACTTCAAAAGAATCCGGTTCAGTGCAACTCACTGGGAATCCTTGACATTTTTAAGCCATCAATGGTCCATTCTGATCACCCTTGTCACTCAGGGTGCTACACACACGTACATTTAACACAGAGCTCAGGTTGCTCTTTCTAAAGCAAATAGACAAATCGTTACTACAAAATTCATGATAAGACTTTTGTGGGGTCCACTCACATTTACTCTTTTCAGGTACCACTTGTATGGACATAAAACTACCAGAGCGCATAGCAAGATTTTAATCAAATATACATCAACGTATGTTCACTGCATTTTAGATTTTTACATCCAAACAATGCTGGCAGGCGCACCTGCTTCAGAGTACATGTACGTCTTGCCTTGCTTTTTCTTAACAACTTACAGCCACTTTTGGCAAAATAAGGATGTGAACTAAAAACAAAATTACGCGTCCAGTGCCCTCAGTGAATGCACAGGCCCTCAGGGAGGCCAGCTCATGCAAGTGTATGCCATCAACTGTTACTGGAATGTGGCCGCCTGTGCAATTGTCAATTTGGTCTTCGTTTGATTTCTCAATGTGGCCAAATCTAATAATGCAGCAAAGAACGGTGTCGGGGCTGGGAATCAGCACGGCAAAGGAATCATAAAAAGGATGACCACTTAAAGAAGAAAAAAGAAACGCAGAACGTAAAGGAAAGAAAACTTGAAATGTTAATGAAATTAGCACATGGGGTTTCCACTTCCAGTACTTGTATTTGAGATTGAAGAGAAAGAGAGAGAGAACAGTGGACAATGGGATGGTCAAAAATTGCCAAGGTCAGTCAATCAGGCAAACCCAGCTGGCTCTTTCACAGCAATTGAATAAGGACCTACAGATTCAACAGCAAGACCCTGGTTCCCAAGCCTGGAGGTGTAATAGTCAAACATCATTTAGTCTTACACACCTCCCCGAAAATCACATACAGAGAGAACTGGGTACCAGACAGCACACTACTTGATTCAATTCACACTAACACAAGTACACCCATCAAGGTTGCTGTGTTCCTGCCAACAACAACAACAAAAAATTATACAAAAGAATCTAAGGTTCGGCCATGAGCTAATGGCGGGTCACGTTCACATTGAACATTTTGGAGATTCAACTCCCCCCCCCGGTTTCATCTAGGATTTCCAAAAACAGCCCTGTCCTTCAGTGATACAGCTCAAAAGTACCCGTCCTTCACCAAGCCACGGAAACAGTAGTCTGGATCCCACACATATGCAAAAGCGATACTGTGGGGCTGCTCGACAGGTATCTGTCTAATGCAATGGTATCCGCAGTGCTGCACATAAACACATAAAGTAGTTACAGGCACCAGACAAGTTGGGCATTGTGGGGATATTGACATGTGGAGTACACATTAACTGTGCCAGCAAGGGCGCACTCATGCAAACGACTCGGCACGGATCAGCACTGCCAGCTGGTTGGTCGCTCATGCAGTTTACGAAATACAAGGTAGTTTTGTGTGTTTATGCTCACACAGATACGGTTTAGTCACTTCGGGTATACATGAATTTCTACCCGAAATCCCCCTGTCGTTTTTACAAGCCATTTTGTGGAAATCTACCTATCACGTTTTTACTGTCCATTTCGCAAAAGACGGGTGGACAGGTTACTAGATGAGACCCTGAGTCAGGGTCCCTGACTCCCCCCTTCCCACTTATAATTATAAAGAGGGAACATATTGTTTTCACGAGGAAGCAATTCTCTCGAGGGCCGTTTTCCAATACTCAACTTTGTCTCCGTCTCAGGCTTCATTCCCGAAACCAATCCCCGATTGTGGGCCTGAAGCGTTTAAATCAAATTGGATTACTGTAAATTTTTGTTCTCTTGCATCTTATTTGATGTTCTGTGGCACTATCAGACTGATTAGTGCGCTTACAGCTTCAAAGTCAGGTAGCAAAAAAAGAACAATTGAAGCCTGTGACAGAGCCAAGTTGAGTATTGGAAAACAGACGAGTAGTTTAATTCTTGAGTCTATTCTTTAATTCTTTGGACTCTAATCTGTTCATTCATTGGGAGACGCATGTGCAGCAACTCAAAGTGTTTCAATTCAAAAGTGTATGCACATTACTTCTTCAATAACGACACCAACCCCGGACTGGACTTTGTAGCATACAAACACATCCCACACTGAAATTGTGAAAAACATTGGCGGTAACACCAAATGAAATGTCCACATCATTATGTCCCTGAATGTGATGCACAGCATTCAGCTGCTAGCAACGCTTCCCAACAGTTTACAGCCAACATGAATACCGTCAGTGTGTACCACTGCTAAAACGTACTCGTAGTCTCGCACAATATATTGAAAGTCCACATACAGCAGCCTTGTCAGCAACAGCAAAAAGGCCTACTGATTTTTATCTTTTTGGTTTCTCAACTACATGATGTATGGTTTTGTGACCTTTCAAAAAGGTATCTGACCCCAAACCACTTCTCTTTTTATTAAAACCACCAAATTTGGAGGAGCAAGTCCAGTCTACATGATGGTAACCATCAGAATAGAATCATGAACATTAGCCCTGCATGCACTCAGCTATTCTTAGAATCTCTGGCCTGGTGGATTTATTACCCGTGGAATGTCACCTTTTTTAATTTCACGAAATCCCAGTGGGAGCTGGCCACTTTCTTGAGAGTCCCCCCCCCAAAAAACACAAAGATGGCATGTGAACTCTTGCGAGACGCCACCCTATAGTGTGCGTGCTTTGTGACTGATCCTCGCACCAGAGTGCGAGATTTGGCTCCTCCATAAAATGCAATTCTGTCAAGCCATTAAAACTGGTGGCCGCATGGAAAGAAGAAAAAAGTGCCCACAGAGTCACGGGTAGAAAACAAAAAAAGCCATATGGTATGCTGTGCACGGCAAACCACCTCTTCCCAACTGAAATGTTGAAGTTTTGTTTCCCTACCCATCCCCGCCTTTTATTTTCTTGGTTTATTGCTTTATTTATACTGAATACTGAGAAAATACCCAACTCGGGGCCATGGTTTTTCAACGAGCCCTAGCAGCTGGTGGGGTTTTAATATAAACACCCAGACCCGTCGGCTTCCCAGTGAACGTGACTGCTAAGCCAGAGCATGGCTACGGTGAAAAGACGGGTGGGGGGGAGGAAGGAATTCGCTCCAGTCCATCGATGGGAAAATGAGAGTAAAATACTGAGAATGAAGCACCTGGTCCTTTGTGAGACAGTGGCTGCCCACATTAAAAAACAAAAAATGGGGGTGGATCTTTCAAATTTCAAGCACCGAAATGCGTCGACCTTTAGAATGACTTCCAACACAGGCGAAGCGTCAATATTACAATTATGAACGACTGACATACGTATATAAATAAACAATACTTAATAGACAAAATTATGTGTAACTCACTGTTCCATTGCACGGTTCACTGTTATCATCTATCTGGACATTGTAAAAAAAAATAATAACAAAAAAATAATAAATAATAATACCAATAAACAAATTGTGCTCTGTGGAAATGTACTCTACGACCACTTTTGTTATGATTCAGTTTGAACTTTAGTGTGGACATTATTATCAAATTATGATTTTTCTCCTTTTCATTATATTACCAGTGTCCAAGTTCAAAGCCATGAAATGTTGTCACTATAATGGCAAAACCATGAAGAACGCAGGGCATTTAACTCAAACCTACCACTAGTAAATTCACAGCAACATTTCAGTTGTTGTGGGGGATCCCGGAACAACCTCAGGCCTGTTTTTTTGGCTGGGCGAGGACATGTTGGAGCTTGAAAATTCACGATTTGTTAACAAATACCTCCGTGAACAGTTTGATTGGGTTCCATTACCGAGCTATTTTGGTTGATGTGTTCCCCTGTATCAAGTCACATCGTGAGAACGTACCGAGGGCATTAGGGCTGCCAAATTTAGCACATGGGAGCCAGTGTTTAGAAGCGCCCAGCAAGGTAGGAACTCAAGAAAGATACACATGTGACTGGTCACACAGAATGTACTTGCAATCGTGCAGAAATGCATATTGCAGTCAGGACACTTGACACCATGCATCCATGTATACCAAGTATGCATCAGAGAACAAATGGACTAAACAAATGCGTTTGTATGTACGTACATCTGCTCATATCCTCTTTTCAAAAATAATAAACTTCCGTTCACCAACTCCTATGGAGACATGGCATTGTGAAGTCTGACAGAAAAATGGCCGGCTTTGGGCAAATGGACAACACAGGCTGTCTTTCTTTTTTTATGCCACTTTTTTCTTATAACAAAATAAAAGAATTCCCCTCTACTTTTGCACACAAATAGGTTTAAACAAATCTGGACTACTCTTAAATTTTAATAAAATATTCACAAAAATATAGCAATGTGGTTAAACTAACTTCCTGAATATCTTTGAATTCTTTCTGCAACTTAAAAAGCATTCAGGAGTCAACAAAGTTGACCGTAACCTTTAAAAAAGAAAGCTCTGAAAAACATGACATTAAAAAAAAGAAACAAAAAATAATGCTCCGTGCCAAACACGAGCAAAGAATTTCACTCCAAATGCAAACATATATACAAGACGACTTCTTTGCAGTGCCTTGTACATGTAGTACCTTGGTTTCGTTACAGTACATGCAAGCGTTCTAAGATAGATATCCCAGCATTCAGGGGAGGGAGAAGCCGGTACTCAGCAGCTGCATGTGTACATACATGTACATGTATACCGGTATGCACCAGAAATGCCTCCAACTTTACATTCGTGATCCCGTACATCCAACTCAGGGGGAAAAGCCGGCCTAGCTTTGTTATCACAAGACTTGACCTCATCTGTCTAATTGACCCAGTTGACCTCAGAATAAGGGCAAACCTTTCCATGGAGGGAAGGGGGTGAGAGGAGGGGAGCCCCAGGGAACAATCTCTAATTGGCTTATTTGCCCTTATTAGGACAAGGGCCTTGTTACTTGGGGATGCAGTGAAAAGGGGGAAGAGGTCTTTCTCTCCTCTTACAAATAACACAGTGACACGGTGACCAAGAAAAGCACCATATCAATTCACAGGGGAATCTACTTTTGGACTGGAAGTTTTGAAACTATTCTCTAATGCCCCGTTTGGAAACCAATGATTCACTTAGCATGTGCCCTTCTGTTTGAAGGTCAATGTGGCTTTGGAAAGTTTTCAGACTATCTAATTACTTGCTTCTATGAAAAATTAACCCCTTGTCTGTTAATCATGAGAAAAAATGTTCTAAATGAAAACAACTGCACATGAAATCAGATCCCATAACGGGAGTTATACAGTTTTTTCCTTGTACATTCTCAGTGCATTGGAACGAGCAAACTCAGCTGATGCAGTCCATTGAGAGCCTCGTGGATATGGACATGTATCCGTGGACGGAAAAGGTTCAAGTAATGCAGTTCCTGTTTATTTCCATTGTAAGACATTTCTTTCCCAGTAAATCAAAAGGAGGTCTAGAAATTACCAACACATGTGTAATTACAACGTTAGACAGGATTTTCATATTTTTTGTTCATTAATTTCATTACTTTTTGTACAACTTCAACTTCCTATTTTTATCCAGAATTAAAAATCTTCTTTTAGTTGGAAGGCAAATTGTTTGCCTCAGTTTATCAAAACAAAAATTTATTCAAGAATTTCTGAGGCAAAAAAATAATAATTTTCTCACAGTGACACTAAAAGACTAAATCCCCGAGACAAAACTGGACCAGTGAGGGGGAATCCTATCCTTTTGATCAGCGCTATAATTGAATCACTGGTTGATAATCACATGTATTCTACACAAAGCACCGTGCACAGCACGCTCAATTCGCAATTATTTCTGACCTTTGCAGTGAAAAAAAAAAATAAAAAATCTAGCCTGCTGAGCAGATGTGGATTGCACCGAATTAACCGGTTGTCCACCTCGGACGCTTGCAGATTAAAATATAACCTCTGATTCAGCACGGGGGCACGAATGCCTTTCATCCTCCAAACTTAAAAGGGCAATTTTTTTTTTTCAAATGCTGCCCTATGTTGTCCTTAGAAAATCTACCATCCTCATCCCAGATTCTCTTGATTTATTCAAGGAGAAGCAAAAGAGAAAGTGAACAGGGTGGGGAGAAGGTTAAAAAAAAAAAGACAGTTGGGGTTTTAGGAGGAGCAAAACAACGATGCTGTCCCTTATTACCGCATGCTCACTCCACAGGAATGCTTGGGGTCAAGTGAAAAATGCACGAGCAGGCTTTGAATAGCCTTGCTCCTTGGCTGGCATGCAGCGGCATGACGACCGCTGCTCCATGGGCCATGCACTGCCATGGGGCAAAAAAAAAAAAAAAAAGGACGAGGAGAGAGGTGGGGATGGATCGAAGGGTTGGAGGAGTTAGGAACAAAATTTCAAGAAACAAAAATATATTTTTGAGTGAGCGCCGGTCACACATAATGTACTCAGTTGTGGAATCATTTGTTATTGAAGGGCAGATTGAGCCTGAAGGATCAGGTTAGATCACTGGCTGTACACTTTTGACTCTTGAATTGTTATTTGCAGTGAGTGCATATACTGTACATGTACAGTGCATGTACAAGTACACACGTACAAGATACCCTTTCCCATTTTGCACCCTACACACTGAGTATATTGGTCACCCTTGCTGAAGATGTTGGCAGAAACATGTTTCTTTACTTGGCCCCATGCTCACAAAACTGATCAAATGTACCAGCTGGGAGATTTAAATAGATCGCTGTTCAGGTTTAAATTGTATTTGTTTGTTACTTTCTCCAGTGTCTCTAAAATTATCTTGACAGAGGTCGAACATCTTTGAATCAATATTCTTCTCAAATATCCAAATGCAACCCGGGGTAATAAGGTAAGTACTGAATCCTACGTCAAATAAACACATTTGGCAATTTTGACCAGAATTTCAGTATGGCAAACAAATTTGATGGTACAGGCCACTTGACTGAGAAGTGGGGCTGAGTCCATTTGAATAATTCACTTTTCGAATATTCCACCTTCAATTCAATCGAATATCCGAATATTCAGTCATACCGACTGACAGATTATTGATAAACAGACCATATACAAAATCAGTTGCAATAACACACAAAGTTGTACATTATAATCAATATAATAGCTTCTCACATCTAAGAGTATCTCCAGCCACGATTTAGCAAGATTTGAAAGACGAACAAGCACAGTTAAAAATTTCTATTCCTCTTAAATTGTTTAATGAATAATTTACTTTTCGAATCGTTGAAAGATTTCGGTCGCTTTTCATTTAAATCTGCTTGAAACAAGACTCCACAATACAATTGTTCTCATTTAAACAAAAGAAAATTCCTTTTCATTAATTTAGCATTCGAATATTCAAACTCAGAAATTAACATTCAATAATCGATTGAAGATTTGGTTATTCGGACATTCTGTGAAGACAGTATTTCTTTCCATCAAAATGATGGAATGAGAGCAAGATTTTGGCCATTGTAAATGTTTTGATGCTCTCCAAAATTAATCAAATTGCAGAAGTTCAAAACAGTTGATGACGCACTGAAGGAAGGTCAGACGCAAAGTACTCTTTCAAAAAAAATGGACGATTCATCAAAAATTTCTAAATGAAGGAAGAAAGAGTCCTGCAATGCCTTTTGACAACAACAGGTCCAAATGCATTTTGTTTATAATGTAAATACACAATCAAAGTTGCCAGCCGAGCCACCACATAAAATTTGTTATTTTGGTTCTCTTATCAGATGACCAAAACCCAAATATGTATAAATGTCTAGGACTCTCATTAGTAGGTAAATGACAAAACGTATTCCGTGCTTCTTTCTTCTTTCTTTCTTTATTTTTGCCAACCAATCAAATTACACGCATCTGTCACAGGTTCGAGGGGGTAAAAAAAGAAAAGAAAAAATGCATCACACCCACAGCAGCTGTGTCACATGCATTGAATTTACTCTAGCAACGATTGTCAAGGCAACCGTCGCCCCGGCAACTTGCAGGTATGGCATGTCATTGGGTCAGCAGCGACTCCAGTAATTAAGGGGCAACCGGTGAGGGGCTCACCTTGGGGCTTTGTACATGGGCTTTGCCAGCAAAGGTCTCTTTCTTTTTTTTTTTCTATTTTGAAGAGGGCGGGGATGGGCGAAAGAGTTTGCGTGACATCTTATCAGTGGCTGATCGACTTCAGGAATGCCACATAAACTGGCAATAAAACACTGAATCAACAAACACTAGATATTTCACCACAGAGACAGTTCTCAAAGCAGCGTAGAGTGGACTGGGAAGGTGGGAGTATTCCCCCCCCCATTTTTGCTGTATTGCAGAACTTTGACAGCTGGTATGAGAGGAATGCCATTTCCACAGCATGACATCACAAAGGCTATTTAAGGATTTCTCAGTGTTAGACGTTGCAACTGATCCAAACGAACATGGGGTTGGATTTGAAAAA